CAAATTGCAGGTTACAGGGCAGAACCCCAGCTCCGGCCAGCGTCGTTCTGGCATCGGCAAACCAGGGGCACAGAACAGAGCAACTCTGCGGAAATCAGTCCAAGTTCGACCATCCCTGACCTCCTCCATCCCAGGTATATACAAGAACTGGAAGCTACCACAAAGCCAGAGAACCAGAAGACTAAATATAGCATAGAAAAGCTGAATTAGGAAAACTGTCAAGGTCGAAAAGGACTCAGAAACCCTCAAACTCCCTAACCAACCTTTCCGAAATTACTCAAAGTTGCCTCACTCACTGCCAAGCTCTACCAGGCCTCACGCCCCCTACTTCTGCTAAGTTACAGGGCAACACAACTTACCCCAGCTCCGGCCGGCATCGTCTCTGCAGCAGACCTTGGTTGTCCCGTAAGATGCCCACCCCAAAGCATCCCCAGATCACTCCGCTAAGCCTCACGCTCCTGCTTCGGCAGATTATAGGGCAACACCCCAGCACCGGCCAGCGTCATTCTAGCGTCGAACAACCATAATCAACGAGTATAGCAAACTCAAGGCAACCCAAAAAAGGTTACTGGAAGTCCCAGCGTCCTAAGCACTCTTATCCCTCCGACAGAAGACTAGTAAGGGCTATCGAACCACCAACTACCTGCCCTCCCTGCTACAATTGAAGAAAGACCAGGGGTCTCGTGTTCAGTCCTCGATCCACCACATGACTGATCTCATACCCTCCCATGCTAGAGTTACAAGACTCCACCAAGTCCCGGTACCGACCAACCTAGTGTAGTCGGTAGGGAGTGCCTTCCTCCCTCGGCAGCTCCCCATAGCCGCACGCCCCAAACGGTAACAGGGATTTAACCCCGGCTACGGCCACGTTGAAAGTGCTGGTTCTGTCTTCCTCCCTCGACAAAACTGCCCCAAACCTCATGCTCCTCCCAGGTCACAGAGCAGAACGCTCCAGCACTGGTCCGTGTCGTCCCAGCCCCTTCCTTCTGACCTACTATCAAGACCCCCAACCCCCCCTCTATTGCCCCCCCTTCCCACCTCTTACCCAACCGCCCTCTTGGAGCACAAAAAACTCCAATCTATCAAACGGCACATATGACAGAAATCACAATGAGATAGTCCCAACTAAAGGAAAAAACCGATTGCACCCGCCCCCACTCCTAACCAACCTTACTCCGGTGAGACTTACTGCAGTGGAGCCACCATCTCCCCTGCCGCTATACCCTAATACCACTCTGCAGGTTAGCCCCTTCCCTGCATCGCGCGTCCTTACCCCCCCTCATGCCATCATGACCCCCGCAACCAGTACCCTCCTCAAGGGAGAACCAAGCAAAGATGAATTTGATAACACGATCTACGGATTTTTAGAATAGGAAGCCCGTGCCTTCCTCAAGGAAGAACCAAGCAGAGATGGAATTGATAACACGATCCCGCCATGATAGTAAAGCTCATGTCATCTTCTTATGATTATTTCCATGTGATTCATATACGTTTTCTCTCTGCACTGTTAGGCAATGGCCTTGAAGCCCTGTAACATCCACACAGCCTTGAGCACCAGCCTCAACTGACATCAGCTGTTGAAAAGAGTATGAAAAGAAAGACATGGTTGGTGTGTGACTGCTGGAACCTCGAAAAGGAACTTAAATCATACACTGGGACTGTTCAGGATGAATTTTGGCTGCGATTGCACTCACATTCACTCCAGAATGCCCTGCTGTGAGTTCTTCAGGTGAAGTTAATGTTTAGGGGTAAGTACATTCATGTCACCTTTGAGTATTGAATGGGCAAAAAAAACACGCATTCGCAAAGAAAGCCGCGCCGAGTTCGAAAAGGCAATGGAAGTAAAGACTGCCATGGTGTCAGACCGGGTGTCATATTTACAGGAGTCGTCCGTGGTGTCAGAGGGGAGAACCAAAAAAAAAAAAAAAAGCCCAACGGATACTTTTGGACCGCAATAGCTCATTTCGAGTTGGCGCGTGGTTTCTTTGCCGGCGGGAGATTTTTTTGCCTTTAGGGTTTCAAAACATGCCGCGTCCGCTGTTATTTCTAATGCTTATTAAATTGTCAGAAGCCCTGGGTTCAGTTGTGGCTGGCGTAGCAGTTACCGTAGCACCGGCTTGTCGGGGTACTGGAACAGCCTAACAGGCTCCAGGTATTCGCTCTGGCATAGCAGCTACTACCTGAGTACAGACTTGCCGCGGTACTGGTACCGGCTTGTCGGGGTACTGGAACAGCCTAACAGCCTCCAGGTATTCGCTCTGGCATAGAAACTACTACCTGAGTACAGACTTGCCGCGGTACTGGAACGGGCTCGAGGTGCTGGATTTAGTGGCTCCAAATGTGACTGGCATAGCTGCTACGGTGTTACCTGATTACAGACTTATCAGGGTACCGCAACGGGCTCCAGGTACTGCTCCAGGGTTCAACTTGTGTGGCTGGCGTAGCTGTCACCTTAATACAGACTTTTTGAGGTACCAAAATGGGCTCCAGATACTGATCCATGGTCCAAGTTGTGTGGCTGGCGTAGCTGTCACCCTAGTACAGGCTGAGATCATACGAGGGAACAGAGGATCTCTGACTCTCCGTCTCATACTACAAGTCGCCTATCGACTTGGCTATCAACTTACCTATCAAATAAGCTATCAACTCACCCATCAACTAGGCTATCAACTCATCTATCAGCTAGGCTATAAACTAGGCTATCAATTGTGCTATCAAGTCGGCTGCGCTAGATGGGAGTCTTCCGAACCCCCTCATGAAGGCCTGCAGTAGTATGTTCATACCTAGCTCCCGAAGTACCCATAGAACGGGATTATGCGACTCTTCAACCATGGCTGAGCAGGGTTTCCTGCTCAGCTCGGGTGCCTGCGACCGCTGTCTGGTCAGGTCACCCCACCAAGATGGTGATTGGTGATGGTCCTGGGTATTTAACACTAGGGTAGGACAGGGGGGGTCGGGGTGCACCAGGGAAATTGATGAGAGGAAGGGTGGGTGGGGGGGTCTATCTGGATAACCAAATGGCTGATTACCAAGGGCGAATGTCATATGTCGACCATCCAACCTCTACAACAACCTGGACTTAAAGAAAAGAAGAAGAAGAAGAAGAAGAAGAAGAAGAAGAAGAAGAAGAAGAAGAAGAAGAAGAAGAAGATGTATCATTTTTTGAAAGGACACCTCGTCCTTTCCGAAAGGAGACATGCAGAATTGATTGCTTGGGGTAAGGGGCTGTTCACACATTCGGCCTAAGTGTCACATCTGATGACACAAGCCAGGATACCATGTAGGTAGAAATACAAGAAGTTCTTAGAATGATCTAGGTGGGACCGAAGAGCTTCGAGCAGCGTAAGCGCTAATGCTCTGCGCGATCGCAGTCGGCAAGGCCCAACTGCCTTTCGAGTGACTGGCCATGTCATCATGCCAGGTGGCGTTTGGCTAGGCTGCAGATCTCGCCACACGTCGAGTGTAACGCTGACGTGGAAGATTCTTCATCTGAATCTATTGGCGGGAGAGCAGGAGAATGTTTGGCGTGTAGAAGCGGAGCGACGGTTGATACTCAACAAACACGACGCAGCAGAAGAAATGGCAGGTATGACGGCATCGAATGAACATCAGCAACAGCGCGCGGCGGTATGGTTGTCAGAGCTGGAGGATGGGAGGCGTCGGCTGCAAGAGATTGCGTGGGTGATGTCATCCCCAGCAAATCACCCATCTGCGGTCCGAGGGGGCGGGGCTCAGATGGCTGATTGGTTGGAGGATATGTCCCAGCAGATGCTGGACATCATCTGGATGATGGAGGAGGGGCCGGATCCTTGGCTTGATGACATCATCGATTGGGAACAGGAGCGGGATATCACACGTAGATGCTACGATCTCTTCAGGGAAGGGCAAGCAATCTCTGACAGCTATTACTGCGAGGACTGCGATGACGACGGCAACAGCGGCGCGGACAACAACAACAACAACAACAACAACAACAACAACAGCAACAACAGCAACAACAACAACAACAACAACAACAACATCAACAGTGACAATGACATCAACAACAACAACAACAACAACAACAACAACAACAACAACAACAACAACAACAACAACAACAACAACAACAACAATAACAACAACAACAACAACAACAACAACAACAACAACGACATTAATATCGACAGCAACAATGACATTAACGTCATGAACAACAACAACAACACCGACATCGTTGACGGCGACGTCAACAGCAACAACAACGAAGCCAATACGACGGCGGAAATTCCAAGAACGATGGGGACATTGGTCCAGAAAGCTGCGTTCTCGGCTGCGGCAACAACAACAATTGAGACACCAACAACAGGAATAACAACAACGACAATGACAATGGCGCCTGCATCGCTGGTGGTGATAACGACAGCAGTGACATCAGCTGCAACAACAGCAAAAACATCTCAGGGGGAGAGGACCAGGGATCTGAAGAAGCCGGGGAGGAAGGGATTAGTGGTGAAAAAACGTCATATCGTCTCCCCCCCTTGGTCTTTTGATGTCGAATCGCTCCCTGATGATTGGCCGCTGGTGGGAATAGGATAGGAGATGCCCCCTCTGTTCATTGAAACCATCGGCCCCTCGATCTCAATCAACATGGAATGACAATCTGTTCCTTTGGTGGCAGGTAGGCTGTTTAGGGTTTTCATGTGTCTCATCTGTTCTCCGGAGTGTCTTGATGACTGATTGTGAGGGAGGTTGATGAGAATGGTTTTGTAGGGTTAGGGTTCGTTTTGGGGGCAGGAGGTCAATCCTTCCCGGTCATTGGGAAGTAATCAATGCCCCTGGTATCTACAGTAACATGGTGATACATCACATCGGATCAGATTTCCACGTCACACACATCACATCACTGCAACGATTCCGTCTTCAGGACTAATTGATATATTGATAGGATAGGGCTTCATGCCTCAGTTTGAATTGACATACAGTACATACATCACACATACATCAGACGTAGGCAGTATTGGATGCTGTGTGGGAGAAAATCACTCATCGCTACATAGGGATGCTGGACCCGTTTTCCAGCTGACACTCACCACATCATATCATTCATTGTATTGGGACGCTGCACCTGTTTTCCAGTAGGTGCAGCTCCCCACCAATAGATGGAGCCTTCGACGCAGGGGCCTACTTACCGGGGATGTTCTTCTCACCTCATTAAGTAGGTTTCCCGTACACGAAGTTTCGCCCCAAAAAAAAAAAAAAAAAAAAAAAAAAAAAAAAAAAAAAAAAAAAAAAAAAAAAAAAAAAAAAAAAAAAAAAAAAAAAAAAAAAAAAGGATACCATGTAGGTCACACTGCCCAGAACGAGTTTTTTCCCACAATTGCCGCAAGCACGACAGCTAAGCAGAGCAGGATAGACACAAACCTTTTGCCAATTGTCTCAATTTGAAGTTGTCTGACAGATCCGTGACCTCCGGTGCAGCTGAAGGTGCTTCTGTGTAACCAACCCCTAGCTATTGTGGCAAACTTTTTTGACCCGTATATCCGAAGCTGACATTCTCTCATGGCAAACCCACCTCTTCCCTCTTTGATTTGCCCCCCTTCTTCCCTCCTACATTGACACAAGCAGCCTTTCTCTTCCCTGCCTTTCTCTCACTCCCCTTTCCCCCCTTGCTTTCTTTTGGAAAAATGGGAATCACGATCGTTTCTTTTTCCTCTTTTTTTTTTCTGTTTTCCTTGCTGTAATGTCCACTGAAAACCGTCTTAGCTGAAGTCATTGTTACTTCACGAAGTTATCTTCAGGGACAAGCCTTAGCATGCCCACCCTGAAAGGGCATGCTTACCGCTGGCTTGACGTAAGGGGAAGGTGCTTGCCTTGCCTTAAACCACCACTGCCTCCAACACCTTCTGGAGATCATGGCGAAATACAAGGAAGCCACAGATACCTTGAGTGAATGCACCGGTTGTCTAAGGGTTGCAATGCCATCTGGACCTGTGGCCAGAAGCTCGGGTTTGGCAAAACCTGTGGTCAGAAGCTCAGGTTTGGCAAAACGTGCGGCCAGGGGCTCAGGCTTGGCAAAACCTGCGGCCAGAAGCTGGGGTTGGGCAAAACAGGCTTTTTTTTTTTTTTTTTTTCAACTCTCAAGTTCAAGGGATGCTGTCCGGTGTGGTAGGAGCACACCCGAATATCATCCCTTGGTGAGGGTGGCTCTTTCCTCTTGGTGGGGAGCTGCACCTGCTGGAAAACGGGTCCAGCATCCCTTTGTTTTTTGAGGTAACTACGTACTTGCATTTCAAACTGCATCTTAGCAATTTAGTCAGGGCCGGAATTTCAAATGCAGTTGAAACTTGGGATGGCCTTTTTTAGCAGTTCAGTCAGACACGTGGCCCCTCTTTATTTTTTCCCGTTTTTAAACTATTATTATTTATTTCTTTATTTATTTATTCTCAGGCGTGGCCGAGACATCTCGGCCGTGCCCCCACCACATGACGAGATCCTTTTTTTCTTTTCCTTCTTTTKCTCGGRCGTGGCTRGGACATCTCGGCCGTAGMCCMRCCACGCGACCGRAAAAAAAAAAAAAAAAAAAAAARRAAAAAAAWRAAAAAMAAAAAMARRAAAAAAAAWRRAAAAAGAAMRRRAAAAAGAATCAGGCCACGTGCCTGAATGAACTGCCAAAAAAGGCCAGCCCGTGTTTCAACTGCATTTGAAACTCAGGCCCTGACTAGACTGCTAAAATGCAGTTTGAAATGCAATTACAAACTGTAACCCTGACCGCGCCATAGTTTTCTCCTTTTGTTTTTTTACCATGAGGGCTTCTTTTTTTTGGGGGGGAGGGGGAACCATGATCCAATCTAATTCGCGAGGAGCAACATGTGCAGGGAACTGGGCACCATGTCCCTTATGGGAATAGATAAAACAACTCGAGGTACCGCGGGCCATTACCCGGCTTCAGCTGAGAACAATCAAGAAAATCAGGAAATTCATGAACAACTTCTGACCTTTTTTTTTTTTTTTTTTTTATAAAACCACAAAACACAGCTAGGGGTAATGATAAAAGCATATACCCCTAGCTATATTCTCGGGTTGCTCCGAGCAACTTCTGACCTCACATCACCAAATACCAACATTCTGAATGACTCTAACAAACCAAAACGAAACCTATCTTGTTCTTGAAACCAGGCGGTCTATTAGGCCTCACACCCCAAATAGCTCAGTTACAGGGCGGCGTGGCCCACCCCAGCTCCCGCCAGCGTTGTCCTGGCAATAGCCCCTGGTTAGCCACTGGAATGCTTTCTTTTTTTTTTTTTTTTTTTTTCAAACACCCCCCTGCAGTGCTGGTGCTGCTGATAAGAGCAGACAATACTAGCACCCGGGGGAAGGCTCCGTCTATTGGTGGGGAGCGTCACCTGCTGGAAAACGGGTCCAGCGTCCCTTACACAGAAAGAAACAATAGCCCTCACACAGAAAGAAACAATAGCATTAGCAAGCCGTGTGAATAAGAGGGACGCCTGCCAGCATTGATTGCTCTGTCACCAGAGGATTGACTGTGCAGGTTGGTGGACAAGGGATAAACCTCTTCACCCTGTGCTGGGCGCCAGAATCCTACTACTNGGCCGAGACATCTCGGCCGTGCCCCCACCACATGACGAGATCCTTTTTTTCTTTTCCTTCTTTTGCTCGGACGTGGCTAGGACATCTCGGCCGTAGACCAACCACGCGACCGAAAAAAAAAAAAAAAAAAAAAAAGGAAAAAAATGAAAAACAAAAACAGGAAAAAAAATGGAAAAAGAACGGGAAAAAGAATCAGGCCACGTGCCTGAATGAACTGCCAAAAAAGGCCAGCCCGTGTTTCAACTGCATTTGAAACTCAGGCCCTGACTAGACTGCTAAAATGCAGTTTGAAATGCAATTACAAACTGTAACCCTGACCGCGCCATAGTTTTCTCCTTTTGTTTTTTTACCATGAGGGCTTCTTTTTTTTGGGGGGGAGGGGGAACCATGATCCAATCTAATTCGCGAGGAGCAACATGTGCAGGGAACTGGGCACCATGTCCCTTATGGGAATAGATAAAACAACTCGAGGTACCGCGGGCCATTACCCGGCTTCAGCTGAGAACAATCAAGAAAATCAGGAAATTCATGAACAACTTCTGACCTTTTTTTTTTTTTTTTTTTTATAAAACCACAAAACACAGCTAGGGGTAATGATAAAAGCATATACCCCTAGCTATATTCTCGGGTTGCTCCGAGCAACTTCTGACCTCACATCACCAAATACCAACATTCTGAATGACTCTAACAAACCAAAACGAAACCTATCTTGTTCTTGAAACCAGGCGGTCTATTAGGCCTCACACCCCAAATAGCTCAGTTACAGGGCGGCGTGGCCCACCCCAGCTCCCGCCAGCGTTGTCCTGGCAATAGCCCCTGGTTAGCCACTGGAATGCTTTCTTTTTTTTTTTTTTTTTTTTTCAAACACCCCCCTGCAGTGCTGGTGCTGCTGATAAGAGCAGACAATACTAGCACCCGGGGGAAGGCTCCGTCTATTGGTGGGGAGCGTCACCTGCTGGAAAACGGGTCCAGCGTCCCTTACACAGAAAGAAACAATAGCCCTCACACAGAAAGAAACAATAGCATTAGCAAGCCGTGTGAATAAGAGGGACGCCTGCCAGCATTGATTGCTCTGTCACCAGAGGATTGACTGTGCAGGTTGGTGGACAAGGGATAAACCTCTTCACCCTGTGCTGGGCGCCAGAATCCTACTACTGAAGAACTAGTTTATCCCATCCCCAGCAGAATAGGACAGGAACATCCCAGAAGAACACTATGTAGAAAAACCTGGCAGCAGGGCCGACTGAAGTGAAGGCCTGCTCCTTCCTCCTCGCCCGCCCTCCCACTCTCTCCCATACCAATCCGGGCCTGCTCACTCTCTCCCGTACCAATCCAGACCTACCAAACAATTGAGGGGGGGGGGGGGAAGGGGTSGGGGAACTCTTCCCTGGGTCTCAAGGGGATAGCTGGATCGATCCTGGTCCAGTCATGGAAGAGGAGCCGGTAATCCCTCCCTAGGTCCCTCCTTCCTTGACCTTCCCCTGGATCACATTGACCGCCTTTCCATTCTACTTCCCCTATCTTTCCCCCGTTTTCTCCTCGGAGCCAGCTCCGGCAGAAATCCTTGATTTTTTGTTGGATATCTTTTGTTGTATGAAGAAACTGGATCTGCTTCCTGACTTTTTCCCATTGTTCTCTTATTGCAGTTTTGATCTGTAGTTGGATGCTTTCCGTGAACTCGGGGTCATCCAGCCTTGCTTTTTCCATTTCATATGTGCAGCGCCGTTGCCAGAGGGCCCAGAGCACCGCCCTTCGACCCATTTTGAACAAATTGTTAGTAAAGTCGTCTTGTTGGTCCAACAAATACGTCTCACATAATTAGGCTTTCCAGTCCCACGGCCACCGGGTGCAGGTCTCTAGGTGGTCCCATATTCTGTCCCACCATCTCCACAGCCACACCGCTCCCGGGCATTGCAGAAAGATATGTTCAATTGTTTCTGGTATTTTCCTGGATGGGAACGCGTCGGTGCAGAGCCTACACCACGAGAGGGCCTGGCCTCTCTGTTCAAGGTTGGTTCTGTTTATTAGCCAATCGTTTGTCGGCAGGCAGCG